GTTAAACAACTTCTATACAATTTGCTTACTTTAAAAACAAACCAAGTACTCGATCAATTAAAGAGCTGAAATTTATTTAAGCCTGCAGTATCATAAAATACTCTTCCAAATGTTACTTTATTTGAGTTAATTTTTTGCAATTTTGTCTTTTATTTTTAACTTTTTTCTAGACCTCGATTATCTGAACCATGTTCGGATCGCGAACAGCCTCGCTGCACTGGCTTTGTCACATGTCGATCTTCGCAATACTCCATTACTCCAGATCTTGGTGGAGCATCTCTGTCCGGACCTACTATCTCCGAGCTTACCCAAACCTGTTCCTTTGCCACTCGTCTTACATCAGCCTGCCTAACTTTAAGCACACCTACTTCAGTTTCTCTACTGCCCACTACAACTTCACTGAGAACCAATGGTGGCGACAGCTCCTGTGCTATCACTTCTCCTGGGGTCAATGCATTTTCCGGAGCTCTAGTTGCGCTCACGCAGCCAACACAAGCAGGGCTTCTTGCTTCAGACCAGCATCATCTTCCTGTTATCGAATCAGTTAATCATGACCAAGTTTTGTCTGGAAGCGGTCCCATATCACCTGACAGTCATCATTTTCCTGTCACTCTATCATCAGATCGTATCATCATGGCTGGTATCGATGATTCTATTCTTTGTAATGCTAGAACAGCAGATTGTACTTTAGCATCGCTGGCTGATGTTGACCTAGATCAGAACTATCCACCGGCTCGCATGGTTCATGATAATGAAGTTGCCGAGGGCTTGGCTTTATCTACTGCTCTTGAGCGAGCTGAAGCAGAGGTTTCCTTCGAGTGAGTAGAACTCATCATCAGCCTGAAATGCATTTTTTTTCTTAATTAGCTCACGACAGCTGCACTTGCAAGTCCAGCCTATAGGATTGAAATCTTTCTTCTCTGGTTTAATAATATCTTGTGACATCTATTTTGCTTTCTTGTCTCTTGACTAGTTGCTGCTCCGATGTGTCGGCCCAATTAGAATCTCTTGTTCAGCGCAGCCTCCTTCTGCAACGGGAAGAGTCTATCATTTTTCAAATGGCGAGTCAGA